TCTCCTCAGAAACCCGCCGCGCGCCTTCTGAGGAGTCGTCCCTGTCTTCGGAGAAAGCTTAGACAACTTCTCAGAAGGCTGGAGCCCTTCCGAGCCTTCTGATAAGGCCAGCCCCCTCTGACTCCCCCCCCAGGCTTGCCGCCGAGTGAAGGCTCGACCTCTGATCCACTTCTTGAGGAAGAGAGGGCCGTGCGTTAGAAAGCCCAGGCTTCGCTAGGGACTTCTCCACCCAAAACGATCCAAAACCTTCTGAAACCCTCCCGGTACCCTTCAACAACCTCCTGGAGCAACTCGGGGTGTCCAGAGGGTCTCGGAAAGATTGAGGTCGTTTTGGGGGTACATCCAGTCCCTGGCGAACCCTTGGCTTTCGAAGCCCCTCACGCAACTGAAGGTTTGACATCTGATCCGCTTCCAGGTACGGAAAGTCGTGTACGGCAGGTTCGTGTCGTGCCGACCCCAGCGTTGGTTTTTGACACCGCAGGGATCGTTCAACCTTGAACGATCGACCGCTGCCGCAACGTCCGATCGTTCAACATCGATCGATTCTGGGTCGCCGGCGGCGTTCAACCTTGAACGCCCGCGCTGGGGTCGCCGCTGGTCGACACGACGCAAACCTACCGTATGAGCGCAAACTTTCGGAGCTGCGCGTGGAGGGCCGCCCCTCCCTGGCGCGCGGAGCGCGCCAGGGGGGGGGCGGCCCAGCTCCGATCCAACAAGTCCGCGCGGAGCCCCGACAATAGGTGAGTGTGTGTGTGTGTGTGGCCTGCTTCCTGCTTCGAGCTTCCAACGCATGCCTGTGCTTTCTGCTTCGGGCTTTCCATCCGGAGGGGCTCCATCCCCACACCCCCGACGTCATGACCCTGTTCACATCATCGACCCCCAACGGTCTCGTCCCATTCCCTTGGACCGGCTTCTCATCCTGAGCCTCTTTGTTCACAGGCCCGAGGCCAGGAAAGGGCTCCCGGAAGCCGAACATAGCGAAACGCACTCCGTCGCGATGTCCCATGGCTCGAGGGGATCCCCTCCTCCTCCTCCTCCTCCTCCGCCTCCTCCTCCTGGATCCCTGAGGGCCCCATCTTTGAACCGCCGAGGGCGTGCTGCCGGCGCCGCCGCCGCTGGCGGCGCCGCGGTGGTCGGCGGCGGCGGCCCGCGGCTCGGCCGCGGGCGTCGTGGAGTCTGGGCCGCGGTGCGGAGGAGAGGCAGGAGATCGGAACGCAGCGCTCGACAAAGCACGGGCATGGAAAACACACCAGGGGTATGAAACAACAGAGGGCTAAAACCAACCCGAGTGTCTTTGTGTTCCAGCGTTGTGTTGCACCCGGGTTAGTTATACTCTCTGGATGTTTTATATCCTGGGTTTGTTTTCATACCCTCGGGCTGCTATAATATCGTGTTCTTGTCAACTGAAAATCAGCCAGTGCGTGCACCGTCGACCAGTGCCTGCATTGGAGATCGTGAGCATCGTGCAACCCATCCCCATCCCCACAGGCATGGCCTCGGCCCCACTGACCGTTTTAGCCCCCTGGATGGGGATACGTGCTGCTGCCTTCGGGTTTGGCGGGGTCTATCACCGCCTTAAGGGGTGGGCTGGCGGGGCTGAGATTCCATGCCCCAGTGGGGGTGGGGATCGATTAAACGATGCTGAGATCGGAACGCAAAGCTAGATCAACCACAAATGTAGACAGCCAGCGCGTGCATGTCGACGAGTACGTGCATTGTCGCCGCCGCCGTCGCCGTCCTCCTCGGTCTTTTCTGCCGCCATGCTCATGCTTCTTCCCCCCCCGGTCACCGTCCTCCTTCTCATTTACCTCATTCCTCCTCCTGTTTCAACTATATATTGTTTCTCCTCCGCATGCTGCTCCTCCTCCTCCTCGAGTTCCTCCTCCTCCTCCTCCTCCTCCTCCTCCTCCTCCTCCTCATCCTTCTCCTGAATAATATCGCCAGCCTTCAACGCGCAAGTGGCTCAAGGCGTCGCCTCTTCCGCACCCTGCTTCCTCTAAGGCCACTGCATACCGATGACGGGTGCACACCGTGCACCATGCTGACCACCAGTCCCCCGCCACTTTGCAATTGCTTCTGTTCGACACAGATGGTGGGGGAATCGACATGTTCCTCGATGCCCTCCGCCTCCTCCTCCTCCGCCTCCTCCTCCTCCTTGAGCTCCTCCTCCTGCTCCTCCTTCTCCTCCTCCTCCTCCTCCTCCTCGAGCTCCTTCTCCTCCTCCTCGACCTCCTCCTCCTCCTCCTCCTGCTCCTCCTGCTCCTGCTCCTGCTCCTGCTCCTGCTCCTGCTCCTGCTCCTCCTCCTCCTCCTCCTCCTCCTCCTCCTCCTCCTCCTCCTCCTCCTCCTCCTCCGGCGCACCAGGCGCACATTTGGGAGCGCCGCGCACCCGGCGCGGCTGGAGCATGCACCACACTTGGCGCATCTGGCGTACTGGGCGCGCCTGGCATGTTTGGCCCCCACGAAGGAGAAGGAGGAGGAGGAGGAGAAGAAGGAGGAGAAGGAGGAGGAAGAGGAGGAGGAGGAGGAGGAGGTGGAGTAGGAGGAGGAGGGGGGGGAGGGGGAGGAGTGGGAGGAGGACGGAGAGGAGGAGGAGGAAAGGGAGGAGGCGGAGGAGGAGGAGGAGGAGGAGGAGGAGGAAGAGGGGGAGGAGGAGGGAGGAGGAGGAGGAGGAGGAGGAGGAGGAGGAGGAGGGGAGGAGGGGAGGAGTGGGGGAGGAGGAAGAAGGGCTATGAGGAGGAATAGGAGGAGGAGGAGGAGGGAGGAGGAGGAGGAGGAGAGGAGGAGGAGGAGGAGGAGGAGGAGGAGGAGGAGGAGGAGGCGGAGGAGGAGGAGGAGGAGGAGGAGGGTGAGGAGGAGGAGGAGGAGGAGGAGGAGGAGGAGGAGGAAGAAGAGAGGGGGGCGAGGAGGAGGTGGGGCACCTGGCGCACCTGGTACGCGTGATGCACTTGGCACCGCGTGGCGCACCGCGTGAGCGTCTCTCACCTGATGTCTGTGTTGTCTTGCGTGGTGCTCCTCGTGTGATGCTGGTGGAAGGGGGGGGGCGGCGGGGGGTGGAGGTGTGCGAGACAGTTTGTGGCGTTCCAGCTGGGATCCTGACCACTCGCCCTGCCCCTACTCTGAGTCTGGACGGGGGGGGCGATGGGATAGACCATCGTATATGGCCCAAGAGGGCCCCAGATAACCCAATCTGACCTCCAAGATGTCTCAGGATGGCACACTATGGCCCAATATGTGCCTCCAAGATGCCCCAAGACCGCACCAAGACGGCTTCAATTGGCCACGAAGCCTCCGAATGATGCTCCCGAGATGCTGAAACCCAAGAGAGGTCCAAGACGGCCACAAATACACCAGATCGAGCCACATTGGACCATCTTGCGCTATATTACAGGCCACCTCAGGGCATAAGCAGTAGGTCAGTATTGTAGATCTATTGGGCCAAAACGCCTCCCAAGGGTGCCCCCGAGAGGCCAACATCGTTCAAACATGTTTGGATTGTTTAGTGATGTTGACGTTGAGCTTCGGGCCCCCCTCCCGTCAGAGCCCGAACACATTGCCTCGTGGTGCCTTCTTGGGACGCTCTTCGGTCTCAAGCATGCCCAACAGATGCCCCAACGCGGCCCCAACACGGCTTCAAATGGCCAAGGACGCCCCCGAAAGGCCAACATCTGCAAAAGTGTTCTCGCCGTGTGTCTTCCGATGGGGCTCTGATGCCTCAAAATGACCCAGAGATCGCTCAAGAGCCTCAAGAGGGGCCCAAGGGAAGACGGCCCCAACAGCACCCACGTAGGCACTAAGAACGTCACAAGAGGCCATAGAAGAGATGCCTCGGGCTCGAGAGGGCCAACGCTAAACGAGAACCCCCTTCTGTCCGATGCCCTCCAAGATGGTCGCAAGACTCCCAAGGGGGCTCCGAGAAACCCCCAATATAACTCCGAACACCTTCACAACAACATGGGGGGGCCAAGATGGCTACTTACACGAAACCCACCGCAACCCCCCAGAGAAACGGATCCATGACGACCTTTCTGTACGGCTCCTGTCGCAGTCGTCGCCGTCGTCCTCCTTCTCCTGTTCCTCCTCCTCCTCCTCCTCCTTCTCCTCTTCCTCCTCATCCTCCTCCCACCTTCCTCCTCTCACCTCCCTCCTGGATTAAACCCCTCATCCCCATAAACAACCCAGCTAGCATGTCCGCAAGCCATGCCAAGCGTTTCGCGTGAGACTTCCCTTCCCACCTCAGAACAGAAAGTACCAACCGCTACATGGATGAGGGGACTGGGCGTTTTCAAACGATGGCCCTCACCTCAGCGCCGCGCACATTAATCTTCAACTGTTGCAGCAAGTGTGCTGGAGGCGCCGCCAGCGGGGCCCAACGCCGATCCAAAAAAAAACGCGGACTGTCGAACATGTCTGCGTATGCTCTGTTCACTTCTTCGGTAGAACGATTCGACAAAGGGTTGGGCACAGACGAGCAGGGAAAGAGCCAGGTGGGCCACACGGAAGGAGGGGGCGCGCGCCTCTCCTCCTCCTCCTCCTCCTCCTCCTGCTCCTCCTCCTCCTCCTGTTCCACCTCCTCCTCCTCCTGTTCCACCTCCTCCACCTCCTCTTTCCACCTCCTCTTTCTCCTCCTCCTTCTCCTCCTCCTCCTCCTCCGCCTCCTCCTCCTCGTCCTCCTCCTCTTTTTTCTCCTCCTCCCCCCCTCCTCTCCTCCTCCTCCTCCTTCCTCCGTCCTCCTCCTTCCTCCTCCTCCCTGGCAGCAACGCCAGCCCGGGCAGGATGAACACGTACATACCTACGCGCTGCGACACCACACATATACATTTCAAACCGTCCTCCTCTTCCCCCCTCCTCCTCCTCCTCCTCCTCCTCCTCCTCCTTCTCCTCCTCACTGGTCCTCCTGATGGACCCCCCGCGAGGAGGGGGGCACGAGCCTCACCGAGCAGGCGCCCGCCTCGGTAGTGAGCGGCGTGGTGTAGCCGACAACGTCGGCGTCCCAAGCCTGAGGAGCCACGGCTGGGAGACACCCTGCTGGTCCCTCGTCGTCGTCGTCGATCGAACGAGGGGTAGAAGGAACATGGGGAGGAATAGAGAGAGGTGATGAGGCTGAGGAAGAGGAGGAGCAGGAGCAGCATGAGGATGAGGATGAGGATGGTGATGAACATGAAAATGGTAATGGTGATGAAGATGCTGATGAAGATGAAAATGAATCTGAGGATGATGATGATGAAGATGATGATGCTGATGATGATGACGATGACGCCGATGATGATGATGATGATGGTGATGATGATGATGATGATGGTGAAGATGGTGATAATGATGATGATGATGATGATGATGATGATGATGATGATGATGATGATGATGATGATGAAGTTGATGAGGCTGCTTTGATAAGGATGATGATGCTGCTGCTGCTGCTGAGGAAGAGAAGGAAGACGACGACGAAGAAGATCCTCCTCCTCTGGCTGTTCTGGTGTTTCGACCCTTGATGTCCCTCCTCCTCCTTCTGCTGCTCTGCTGTCTCCCCGTCCTTCAAATTGAGGAGGAAGAGGAGGAGCTTACGTGGCCTCGCGCCGCATAGGCGCGGGGCTCTCGCGCAGCATAGCTGCGGCACGCCCGCATAGGAATACGACTGCCATCAGCTTCGCGCCAGATCGCCATCTGCTTCGCGCCCGCTGGGGGGGGGTACGTGGACGCGCATGGACCCCCTCAGTGGCAAAGCTGCGCCATGGAACTCATGTGTACTCCACAGTCCCTCAATCCCTGAGCTCGCGAACAAACGTGGCCGCCCGCTTGATCCCATCTGGGCTAACAAGCTTCGGTGCTCTGGTCGGGACTGACTTAAGTTGGCGGGTCTGTAGGCTTGTTAAATTGAACCGGTTCGCATCTAGTTGGTCCGGTTGGATTGGTCCGATTGGTCTGGTCGGTCTGGACGGCTTTGTTGGTCTCGTTCCGTTGGCCTAGTTGGTCGGATTTGTGCCTGGCCTAGGGTAGTCTGGTCTAGTCTGGTCTGGCTAGTCTGGTTTGGATTGTGCCTGGCTGTCATCCTAGACGGCTGGTCTGGTTGGCCTGGCGCGGTTGCTCCGCTGGGTCTGGCTGATCTGGCTGATTTGATGGGTCTGTTTTTTTTTAGTTCCAAGAATTCTTTCGGATCCGATCTCGGCTTGCAGGTAGGAGGGAGGAGGGAGAAGAGGAGAAGAGGAGGAGGAGGAGGAGGAGGACACGCACATGGCTTGGGGGGTGTTCGATGTCCGCCGCGAGAGAGCGCGGCCGACTATGGAGGGCTTAGTGCCTCCTCTCCCTGGGTCTTGGCACGCTCCTCGCGCACCAGCTGGGCCAGGGGAATAGCGGGGGTCTTAAAAACGATCGGGGACGACTTTGTGCCCTTTGGATCTCGACCCTCTTGGACGCGGGCTAGCTGAGTGGCCGCTCCTTGGTGGCTCACTCTAGTGCTGCACGCACTAGTGAGCCCTCGACCCAACCCCTCAGAGAAGGATCCATACTTATGGCAAACCAAGATACTCGTCGGGTGATCAAGGTGCTCGTAGTAAAACAAATCATGGCCTTTATTATCATGCACAAGATCGGAAAGCTGCTTACAGTGGCCTGGGCAATGCTGGGCCTGTAAAACTCCCCGCTGTGTGAAAGACTTGGTCTGCACTCTACACAGGATGCACCTGTGGTACTGATGGATGAGAGCCCACGTGTGGTACCTGAAGGGCTCTCTGGGCTCCTCGTGGGGCACAGGAGGAGGCGGAGGGGGGGGAGGCTCGACCGACGACGGCGGCGTCCACGACGAAAGGGCAGAGGCGGCACCCGAGGGGGGAGACAAACTCTTCTCTGGGGCGGCCAAGGCTTTGTTACGGTGAGGGGCGATCGCGGGCCACTCTCCCAGAGCCTGAGCAACATACTTCAAATATCGCACGGGAAACTTCCGACTGTCAGTAAAATCGCTTTTCTCTGCTTCGCTGGGCTGCATTCCTTTAAAAGCGGCGGCCTTGGCAATACGATCAGCAGCACTATTACCTTCGGCCAACCGTCGCTCTTCACTGCCTTCTGAGAGGGCCTGCAAATCTTGGTGGGCCTTGACCTTACGCAAGCGCTGGCCGAGGGGGAACTGGCTTCTGCCAGCCAACACCTTACACCCAGCCCACACGTTGTGCCGAGGGTACTCAGTACCTTGGTGCAGAGACAGAACTCCTTTATAATCAGAGTAAATGACTTCAACATCCCTAGACAGAATACTGGCCGCAACAGCGGCCAAATGCTCCGCGGCTCCCGAGGTTTGTAAAAAACATCTGGCCGACTCGGCCACTGAAATGGGCAAAAGCTTCTCCGTTACGCATACAGACAACCGCGAAACCAGCGGCGTTGAAGACATAGTGACCGTGGTTAGTGCAACTGCCATCTATATACACTTCCCCTTCGCTGAAAGCCTCCTGAGGGGTGATCCCCTCCTGGGCACACCGAAACCCCCCAAACTCCAGGCCCGAACCAGGAGGGTTCTCACCACGATACTCGGGGACCAGCTGGAAACCGAGGTACTGGGGCAGGGTCTGGGGAGGAGGCTCTCTTGAATTCTGAAGCTCCGCTGCCGAGAAATGAGTGGCTCTGAGATTCTCTGTCTTCGGGCAGTAAAGTATGCGGTGGCCGAGGTTGTCCGAATGGTGGCCGCAATCGCAGCCAGTCTCGACTTCGTATCCTGCTGCCTTGGCTCTGTCCATAGTCCATATACTCTGAGTGAGGAAGGCGAGGAGGGTTCCCTTCTGGTGGCCAAGGAGGTCTGGCGATGATAGAGCAGCACGGGCAGCAACCACATCTAACTGGGCGTTCGGGTGGCCGATCTTCCCGGCCGCCTTGGAAGCGAGCTGGCCGTGCCAGTCGAACTCCATGAGCTTTTGGAGGAGGGCGGGGGAATGTCCTGGGAGAGGGTACTCAATGCCTGAGGAGGTCACAAAAGTAAATGGTCCCTGGAATTTCCAACCGATCCTTTTAAGCGAAAGCACCGCGGCGCTGAGGGGGCCCCTGGAGGAGCCCCAAGATTTTGCAACTCTCGGGAGGATGGCCTCAGCCCAAACACGCAACTGCTGGAGACTGGTCACGGCAAGGTGGGGGCGGGTGGCGGCGTCCCAGACAAGGCGGCGCCACATAATGGCGGGCCCCAGGGCAGCTTTCCACAAGGGGTCCTTGAGGATGAGCAGGGCCAGACTGCGGCTGCGCGTCGGGCAACGGGGTCCCGCAGCAGCCAAAAACTGCGACCTAGCAGATTCCAACTGCGTGCCATTGATGCCAGTCACATCGACTCCGAACGTGGTGGCCGCCTCGAGGCCAGTCCTATACAACTTATGAGTGTTACCCCCAGCTCTCTTGAGCATGCGAACCCTGTTAAGTCTTTTACGCATCTTATCAAGACGCTCCAAAATCTGACGCTGCTTTCTCCATCGGCGTTGGGGCCGTCCAGCCCCAGTTTCACAACCCAGGTTAGGTCCAGACCTATCCGCGTTCGGGCCCGCCAGAGGCCCGAGAGCCGTCCTGAGTTGATCCTGAGGGGCTTGTTGGGACGCCAGGACCTGACTTTTCTTGCTGGCGATCTGGCACTTAAACTCATTGATGATGCAGTCTGCGATGGACCTGGCAGCAATATTGAGCTGGCTGACGATGAGGCTGTAACTGCGGCCGTGGCACTGGAGCAGCAGATCATCTATAAACATCGCGAGCCTGATATGACAATGCGCCTGCGTCCACACGTCGAGCGGGGCGAGCACATACATTTGCACAAGATAGGTGGCCCAACTGCATCCTGCGGCAATGCCCCTCCAAGGCTTGCCTACACTGACTGCACAATCTTGTAGTGCAACAGTGCGTTCGCTGGCATATTGAGATAATATGATACGCAATAAACAACACGGAAAACCTGATTCAACAGCACGGTAAACGAGACATGGCCGATCAACATGTTCGTAGTAGTTAGATAAATCGTAGAGAACTTGGGCACTATATTGTTGATCTTTGTCAGAGCTGTTGAACTCGCATTCCAAGGATTGTTTGTATACGAATTCCACTATGGAGTGACCAGCCTGACGAGCAAGGTACGGCCTGCGGTGGTGTGCCTCCCACTCTCTGGCCGCTGACCTCCTGAGCCTAGCCCAGACTCTGTACAAAGCTGGAAGCATGCCAATGGACCTGAAAGAGGGCTGACTGGCTGGGGCATCATGCTGTTTCAACTTCATCATCAGAGTCGATACGATACCTTGGAGCTGGGTTGGCATATGTCCAATCTTTTCCAGCAGGCCAATAAAATCGCAGACAATCTCTGCCTGTTCATTATTCAACATACTGAAATGCCTAGGGTGGAAACCGTCCCAGGTAGAGGCAGTGGCATGGGGAAAACGTTTCGCAACCTGTCGTAATCTCTTGGGGCTGATGGGGCCCAGGGCACTACGATCATCTCTGTCAGGAACGAGCTGTGGTGGGGTATCCTGGGAAACCTGCCATATTTTTGCCAGACGATCAGCTTCTGCCTGCAATATATGCTGGGGCCTGCCAGAATACTGCGACTTAAATGGAACTGACGAGGGCCTCCAGGCCTCCAAACGCTTGGTCCATCTGTGAGCCCATCCCATTCCTCCCTTCATGGTGTCCTGAACCCAATCCCTCCATGCCTTCCCGTCTGCAGCGTTCTCTGCCGCCTGTTCCTGATACAGGAGCTTGGTGACGTGCTCTAGCAGCTCGTCCAGAACCTGGATCGCCAGCGCCTGGTTCAGGGCACCAGCGCTGAAATCAACGTGCAACAAACCTGCGGCAACTCTAATCTCTTGCAGCCCCTTTCTTGAGGGACACGACGGTGGTGGACAACTCAGGGCAATCCTCTAAGCTGTCGAGAGCGCCCTGAAACTCAGTGAGATTCCAGTCCTGAACACATCTATGGAAATCTTGAATCCTATTGATGAGCCATCTCAACGGGCCCGTGTAGGCCACCCATTTAGCCCTACTCCTAG